TGGGCGGGCCTGAGTGCGCGTTCTTCCGTTCTTGGCCACGCCTGCTGGCGCGGGATCTCGGCCGAGGTAGTGGTTCTCGCGATATCCTCGCCCCCTGCTGGTGACGCGAGACTTTCTGAGTAGGCGGGGAGAATTGAGTCTTGGTCTCGCTTCGCCGGATTTGCACTCGGCGTGTGACGAGTCGTGCGACCCATCTTCGAGGAAAAGCAAAACAAACGTGGGAGGTACGCAACCTTGGGCGGGACTAACCCCGAGCCAAAAGGAAGGAGATGTGCTCGCACTCCGTAGTGGAAGCTCCCTCTGTCAGCTATGGGAGGAAAAGAGTTGAAACTTCTTTCTGTGAAAATGTAGGAACGCGGAGTATTTTCAGGCAATCTGAAAACCAGATGGGAGTCTGTTACAGTTAAGCATCTCCTCAGGAAGTGTTTGTCCTCTGCATCTCCTGAGGATTATAACGTCGTACCGAAAAAAGGAACAAGTGTTGACATTTTCCTATTTCCCGCCAAAGCGTTTCGCCGTTAACTTTGGTAGCTGGCCATTGGGAAGCGTACTTTCCGCTTCATGAAAATACAGACCCCGTATAGTGGTGTAACCTCAGAAAATAAGCCTTACTAGTAAGATAAGTTTAGGGAACTGGTTGAGAGCCCCCTTTCTAACACATCCAAGAGCACTGTTTTGACGTTTTTAAAAAGTGTCTCTGTGGGCATTTCTTGCGCTACGTATCGGGGTGTCTTGTGCACTGAATAAGCGGAGGAGGAATTCCCGGGGCATTCACGTTAGTTGTCAAACATTGGTGGCGACAAGACGTGCACTGCGCAGTTGTTTATTTTAATCCCCGTTCGTTCTTGGTAGAATCCTTTTATTCCTTCTTTAAGACAGCTTCGGCTTGTTCCGCCGCCAGTTCTCTGCAATCCATTTGCTTGAAAGGTGAAAATCAGGCGAGATGCAAGTGTTGACCCTGCAGGGCATTCTGGGAATTGTAGTCATTACTTAACGGTCTTGTCAAAACGTGCTTTTGTTTTGACTAGCTCCTCTGTGTGGACACCTTTCGGCCGTACTTTAAAACGAGAGACAGTGTTTTACACAGAGCAGGCGCCTGATAAAAAATAAATCCTAATATCAAAATCTGAATACACAGGGTTGTTTTTTAAATGTAAAGAGGACCTTGGAACCCATTAATTGCTGTGATTGATATGGAAAAAAGGCATTTTGAACTCCGAGAAAACATTTCTGTCTTGGGTCAGAGCAAGCTTCACATAGATAACTTTGAGCCTGATGTTGGAGGATCCCTGAGTGAGAGGTTGGTTTGCAAAGGTGTTCAAGGCTGAGGGGATAGGGCAAACAGTGATAATGTGTTACTGGCCTAAAATAACATATAAATTTATATATGTCAAGGGAATGAGAACTATACAGAAGTCACTTTATGTGTTAAGAGGTTAATAGCCTCTGGGAAAAATTGGGAAATAATATGAATCATTTTCTGAATGTTGTGCCCAGATTTCAAGATTCCCAAGGGCCCACCAGGGAGCCAGCGAGTCCGATGCAAAAGCAAAGAGTCATTTATTTCAAACCTAGGTTTGGCTCCCCTGCCCCCCCTTACTGGCACAGCAGCAAGTGGCAGAGAGAGAGAACTCTGTGTGGAGAGAGGCTTTATAGGGGGTTGGGGCAAGGGGAGGAGAAAGGACTGTGGGACCTGCCCATTGGCCAGGCACCAGGTGGTGGAGTGTCACACAGGATGTGG